TGCTGGAACTTTGCTGAGGATTACAAGATCAGATAAGTTTACAAACTCATTCTAGAAAAAGTGATACGTACCTCATTGCTGAATATCACTGTTGTCACCAGATGGCCAAGGGAAGTAAGTGCTTCAAAGGTGACCATGGTGATACTCAGCAGTAAGGTTTGTAGCACTTTTTCTAGGGTGAGATCTTGAACTTAATTGTCAGACCTCATATGATGACAGCTCTCCTAGCTGTTTCAGAAAAAGAGTTCCAAAATTGCTTTGAAGTATAGACTAGGTTTTGGCATTGGTGCCCAGTTTCCCAAGGTGACTGTAGTGATTCTAAACAATGAGATATGTAGCACTTTTTCTAGGTTAAGGTGACGAACTTAACTGTTGGATTTCGTATATCGTATCATATATCACTTTGAGTATTATTGACACTTACTTTTTTTTTTTGACTCAGAGTCTTACTCTGTCACCTTGAGTAGAGTGCTGTGTCATCATCATATCTCACAGCAACCTCAAACTCTAGGGCTCAAGTGATCTTCTTGCCTCAGCCTCCTGAGTAGCTGGGACTACAGGCACCCACCACAGTGTCTGGCTTAATTTTCTGTTTTTAGTAGAAATGGAGTCTCACTCTTGGTCAAGCTGGTCTTAAACTTCTGAGCTCATGCAATCTACCTGCCTCACCTTGGCCTCCTGGAGTGCTGGGATTACAGATGTGAGCCACCATGCCTGCTTAATGACATATCTTAACAATACTGTCCTTTCTATACCAGTATACATATTGATGCCATATATTTAGGTTTTTAATTTCTTTTCACAGTGCCTTATAGTTTTTAGTGTATGAGTCTTTCACTTGATTGACTAAATTCATAGGTATTTTGTTATTTTACATAGTGCTATAAATGGAATTATGTTTGTAATACCCTTTTCAGATTTTTCATTGCAAATTTATAGAAACACAACTAATTTTTGTGTGTTGATCTTATAATATGCAACTTTGCTGAATTTGTCTTTAGTTCTAGTAGCCTCCTGTGGATCTTTTGAGATTTTCTATATGTAGAATATAAATTCTGAAAATATGGTTTCACTTTTTTTATATGAATGCCTTTTATTTTTCTTGCCTCATTGCTCTGTTTAGAACTTTAGTAAAATATTGAACAACAGTGGGGAAAGTAGACATTCTTATCTTGTCCCTGATATCAGGGGAAGTTTCTGGTCTTTTGTCATTTAGTGTGATGTTCTATGTGTGCTTTCCATAATTGTTCTTTATCATGCTGAGGAAGTTCCCTTCAGTTTCTATCACAAGACGGTGTTGGGTTTTATCAGACCCCTTCTTTGTTGTCAATTGAGATGATCCTGTGAGCCCTGTGTCCTGTTAGTATCCCATTAGTATAATGAATTACACTGATGGATTTTCTTATGTTGAAACCTCCTTGTGTTCCTGGAATAAATCTCATTTGGTCGTGGTGTATAATTGTTCTAGTACACTGTTGGATTTGGTCTGCTAGTATTTTGTTGAGGATTTTTCATCTGTATTCATAGAAATATTTGTAATTTTCTTATATCTCTATTTGGCTCTGGTATCAGTAATGCTGCTGTCTTAAATGAGTTTGGAAGTATTCCTTCCTCTTCTGTTTTTTTGGGAAGAGTTTGAGAAGAATTATTGTTAATTCTTCTTTAAATGTCTTGTTGGGTTCACTGGTAAAGCCGCCTGGTCCCAGACTTGTCTTTGTTTAATAAGTCTTTGATTAATAATTCAATCTCTTATAACAGAAATTTGAAATTTTTCTGTTTCTTCATGAATATAAAATCGTGTTTAGGTGACTTATGACTTTCAAGGAATTTGTCTATTTCATCTTGTTGATCTAACAGTTGTTTATACCAACCTATTCTGATCCCTTTGTAAGATCAGTTGTAATGCCCCACTTTGATTTCTGATTTAGTTATATGTGTTTTTTTTCTTCAGTCTAGCTACACTTTGTAAGCTTTTTGATCTTTTCAAAGAAATTATTTTCTTTTTTTAAATTCTATTTTATCTTTGCTTTATCCTAGGCCATTATAATTCTGGCATACAGCCAGGGTTTAAGACCCTCTTCTAGATTTTTATTGCTCATGAATCAATTTGGAGCACCAGAAAACTGAAGTTAAATTACATGAGCTTCCACTGAATTACATTTTGATGCTCCAAAGGATCTTGTGAAATTTTCTATCGTATTTTCACTTAATTTTCTATTTTGACAGAGTCTCAGCCTTTTGCCCAGGTTAGAAAACAGTGGTATCATCATAGCTCATTATAACCTCAGACTCCTGGGCTCAAGCGATCCTCTTGTCTTAGCCTTCCTAGTAGCTGGGACTAAAGGTGCATACCCACAATTGGCTGATTTTTCTAATTTTTGTAGAGATGAGGTCTCACACTTGCTCAGGTTGGTATCAAACTCCTGTCCTCAAGCAATCCTTTTGCCTCCCAAGAGTGTTGGGATTACAGATGTGAGCCACTTGTGGCTTGGCCATGGTTGCATTCAGAATTCCCCATATAAAATCTAATGAGAATTTTCTTTTTAGAACTAGTACTAGAGACCAGGCATGGTGGCTCATGCCTGTAATCCAAGCACTCTGGGAGGCGGATATGGGCAGATCACTTGAGCTCATGATCTGCCTGAGTTTGAGACCAGCCTGAGCAAGAACCAGACCCCATCTCTAAAAGTAGCTGGGCGATGTGGCAGGCACCTGTAGTCCCAGCTACTGGGGAGGCTGAGGCAAGGCCCAGGAGTGTGAGGTTGCTGTGAGCTATGATGTCACAGCACTCTACTGAGGGTAACAAAGTGAGACTCTGTCTAAAAAAAAAAAAAAAAGAAAAGAAAATAGAACTAGCATTAGGAAAGTATCTGGTATGTCTGGTATATCTGAAACTACGACATGGATCAGTCTGGACCACTGGCGGACGCTTAATCAGCCTAGTAAGTGGGCCCATCTCTTGAATAGTGACTATGTGTTTTACTCATTAAAATATGAAAGAAATGAGCATTTGCTTGCTTAATAACCTAAACCCACAAGTACCATAAACTTGAAAGTAAAAGACATGTGTGTTCTTTCTGTGTATACATGTGTATGTTGCCCAGAGTAGAGATTTCTACTATATTATGCTCTGTGCTACAGGGGAATTGTGATGTTTTTTGGGTTAGGGCTGAGAATTCATAAGTAAGCGAAGCATTGTCTGAGGATTGAATAAGTCCTCCTCCCCATTAAGTTACTGTTAAATTTTAAATATTAGGAGATACTGATATGATAAATAACATCCAGATTTAATTAAAAGTAATACTATTCCTAGCAGCGTTTGTCATCATGTATATTCTAAATTAAAAACTATTAGAGGTGGAGGCTAGGAAGAATCAATGACATTGAAGAGGTGGTAGGTGAGAAAAAGTTTTTTCAGAAAAGGTCTTTGGTTAGAATTTCACATACAGTCATATCTTGGTGGTATTCTAGGCCACAGTAATAAAGCTTAATTACAATGAAATGAATCACAGGAATTTTTTGTTTCCCCTTTCATAGAAAAGTGAACCTCTGAAAGTCATCAAAAGTTGAGGGTTGGAATCTCAACTATCAACTTCTCCCGAACTCCTGTGAATGTTGGTATTTTGACCCCATCCCATGAATTATAGATGTTCTTTTTTTTTTCCTTTTGCGACAGAGTTTTGCCTTGTTGCCCTCGGTAGAGTGCTATGGTGTCACAGCTCAGAGCAACCTCAAACTCTTGAGCTTAAGCAATTCTCTTGCCTTAGCCTCCCAAGCAGCTGGGACTACAGGCGCCCACCACAACACTGGGGTATATTTTGGTTGTAGTTGGCCCAGGCTGGATTCAAACCCGCCTGTTGCAGTGTATGTGGCTAGAGCCCTAGCAACTGAGCTACAGATGCCGAGTCCACAGATGTGATTGATGGCATCTAGAATGGTGAATCCTTTCCAGAAGGTTTTCCAGACCTATCAGAGAATCACTATGGTAGTTCTAACTTTATGAAATATATTTCTGAAATAATAAGACTTTAAAGTTGTAATTATTTTTGATTCAGGGGCTGTAGATGGATGCTGAGTTAGCTGCAGGAAAACAGTAGTCTCCTTGCCACATCTCCATGAGAGTTTTTGGGCTACCAGGTTTGTTAAAGAGCAGCAGTGTTTTAAAAGGAATCTTTTTTCTGAGCAGTAGGTCTTAGCAGTGGGCTTAGAATACTCAGCAAACTGTGCTGTTTCATCCAGGCTTTGTTCTTCCATTTATGGGGCACAGGCAGAGTAGAGTTAGTGTCATCCTTAAGTCCTCTAGGGTTTTCAGAAGGGTAAATGGACACGGGCTTCAACTTAAAGTCACAGCTGCACTATAGCTCCTGACAGTGAAATCAGCCTGTTCAAAAGTTGGAAGCAGAAGTACTCAGCTTCTCTGTAGCTATGGAAGTTCTAGGTGGCGCTTTCTTCCTCAGAAGGCTGTTTCATCTGCACTGAAAACCTGCTGTTTCCTCTCTGCTATGTAGTGCACCCCTGCATTGGTGCTCTCAGTGTTAACCTGCTGTAGTTTTCCATCAGTGCTCAGCACTTCACACTGCAATATGTGTTATGGACCATGGCTTTTTTTCTATAACCTCATGAACTAGCTTCTCCAGCTCCCTCACCTCTTCTTAGCCTTCACAGAATTGAAGAGAGTTGGGGCCTTTCTCCAGATTAGGCTTTGGCTTAAGAGAGTGTTGGGATTGGTTTGACCATCTATCCAGACCAGTGAAAGTTTCTTCATGTCAGCAATGGGGCTGTGCCTGGGTTCTCTGCAGATACTACCGTTTCCTATCAGGGACTTGGCATCAGCAGGGGGTCCTGGAACCAGCCCCCCTTGGATATGGAGGGATGACTACTTTCTTTTCTCTTTTCTCATGTAGATTTCTCCAGTGACACATAATTGTCTGGTTCTAATTAAATATTTCTTTATCTTCTGAATTTGCATAATGATGTCTTTTTTCCTCCCTTTTGAAAAGGACCTTAAAGCTTTTGATCCAGGAGAGAAGTACTTCTGTAATACAACATGGGGAGATGTTTCTCTTTGGGAACCATCTGGGAAGAAAGTGGTATGTATTTTTTGTGTTTGGTTTTCATGTTTCCTCAAAAATTAGGGTAAGTGTAAATTTAGTCTGAGGGATATCACACATTCTGGGGTTGCTGGTGAGTGAATGGGGAGGAGGCCTAATGCAGCCATATAGGAAGAAGGAAGAAAACAAAGTTCAGTGTTGGGTAATGCAGGATTATTGATGTTTGGAGAGTTTTCTTTGTATGTAGTTGATACAGTGATACAGTGAAACTTAGGTTTATAAATATGCAATGTCCGGTTTCCTGAAGTATTAAGTCTGGCAGTTGATATCTCTAGCATTTCGCTTTGATACTTCTTGTTTTATTTTTATTGTGAAGGTACTTCCTTACTCTTCCAAACCTACATTTTGCCTTGTGATTATCTTTCAAATTTTTTTTAGAGGCATTTTTGTGATACCATGGATAAGTAAAAATTCATGTTATTTTCGAATGTGAGTTCCGTTGTGAAACCAATGTGGTGCAGGCAGCTTGAAATATCAACAGAATGTTTGGGAAGGATGTGGCTAATGAACACACAGGACATCGATGGTTGAGAAGTTCCATTGTGGTGATTTTAATCTTGAAAATGAGCCACGTGGGTGACCCAAAAGCAAGGTGGATAATGATGAGCTGAAAGCTGTAGTGGAAACAAATCCATCTCAACCTACATGTGAATTAGAAGCAAGGTTTGATGCTAACTCTATTCCAACAATATTGAAACAAACAGCAAGGTAAAGAAGCTGGATAGATGGGTTCTGCATGAATTAAGTGAGTGTCAGAAGAGAAATTGTCTTGATACTTGCCTTTCCTTGCTGTCACAACATAAAGGTAAATCATTTATACACTATTATTACATGTGATAAGAAATGGATTCTTTTTGACAATTGCAAGCATTTCAGAACATGGTTGGATAAAGATGATGCTGAAACACAGTCCAAAACCAAATATTTATCAAAAAAAGCTAATGGTGTCTGTTTGGTGGCTCAGTGCTGATATTATCCACTACTGCTTTATGAAACCTGGCAGTGGATTATAGTGAATGTCCACTGCAACCAGCTAGACGACACGATGAAGGTTTTTGTTGTTAAGCAGTTGAGGTTGGTCAGTAAGGGAGGCCCCTTTTGCAAGACAACACTATTGCACAAGTGACACTGCTCAAACTACAGGGACTGGACTTGGAATCTCTTGTGTCATCCACTGTGCTCACCAGGCCTGGCATCAGCTGACCACCACTTCATTCCAGGCTTTGGACCACTTCTTGTAAGGAAAAATTCTCAGTTCTCGATAAGCTGTGGAAAAGGCCTTTTGTGATTTCATCACCACTCACTTTCTGGGCTTCTTCAGTGCTGACACGTATTAACTACTGTTAAGATACAAAACTGGCTCGGTGCCTGTGGCTCAAGTGGCTAAGGCGCCAGCCACATACACCCAAGGTGGCGGGTTCGAATCCAGCCCGGGCCTGCCAAACAACAATGATGGCTGCAACCAAAAAATGGCCAGGCGTTGTGGCGGGCGCCTGTGGTCCCAGCTACTTGGGAGGTGGAGGCAGGAGACTCTCTTGAGCCCAGGAGTTGGAGGTTGCTGTGAGCTGTGATGCCAGGGCACTCTACCCAGGGGGACAGCTTGAGGCTCTGTCTCAAAAAAGAAAAAGAAAAAGACACAAAACTGTGATAGTTTAGGTGAATATTTTGATTAATTGTGCTTCTTGTTTGAGAAATAATAAACTGATTTGAAATCAGACATTTCATATTTAATGATCTTAATATTTGTTGTTGATTATAAGATGCCACTGGAGTAAGAAAGACCTTTGATTTAATAACTGTTCTAAGTAAAACAAAATGCTGTGACATTAAGTGTATGCAATGAATGTATATCCTGGTTTCAGAAACCAAAATAAAAATGTAGACCTTTGAATCAAAGAACAACACTTTTAATAATTTAAAATTTCAAACTTAAGCAAATTTAAGCTAAAACGTGGCATACTGGTAAATTAGCTGCATTACAAGGGTTTTTTTGGTGGGAACCCTTTCCCCTCACCAGACCAGACACAGCATCTTCATTGTGATTAAACCAGCCCCAGATTTGACTGAGCTGTCCCTCCTTCCCTGCTAACTTCTGTTGTCAAGGTCATGCTTGCTTTGCAGATTTTTATCTGTAAATGTGTCTTCTGTAGTCCTTGTTTGACAACAGTGTTTCTGTTGTTAGCCACCTTCTTGAATCCTTTTTTTAGTCTCTTATCCTCTCTGGCCTAACATCCCCTCTCTGCCATCTGCCAGCCTCCTTGATTCTACTGGGGTTGGTTATTCCATGCGGCATAACTCGTGGCTGTTAAAATAGCCTCGTTTAGCAGACAGACTTTGACTTCATGAACCTTAAGCTTCATTGATTTTTCTCACCTGAATTTTTTTTTTTTTTTTTAAGAAATAGAGTCTTATTGTCACCCTTGGTAGAGTGCTGTGGCATCACAGCTCATAGCAGCCTCCAACTCCTGGGCTTAGGCAATTCTCTTGCTTCAGCCTCCCAAGTAGCTGGGACTACAGGTGCCCACCACAATGCCTGGCTATTTTTTTGTTGTTGTTACAGTTTGGCTGGGGCCAGGTTCAAATCCTCCACCCTCAGTATATGGGGCCAGCACCCTACCCACTGAGCCACAGGTATCGCCCCCACCTGAATTCTATAATCTAACTTGTATATAAAATGACATGTTTTCATTAATGAGCATGTTTTTAAATCCTACCAGAAAGCAGGTAACAGTGTTTGAGTACAAAAAGGTAAAAGTTAAGGTTCTTTTCCTCAAGGAGTTTATATTTTTGTTGGGGTGAATAGGGGCTACGCATAAAATACTAAGTAATAATTTGAAATTACGGAGATTGGATGTATTATAACGGAACCATATTCAAATATAGTAAAAGCACCGTTGCCTCAAATGGGAAAGCTTGTGGAGTCTGCTAGATCCGGTGTCTTTGTTCTGAAGGTGGTTTTCCTGCTATCCTTTGTTCTTTTGTCCCTAAACCTAAGCAAAAGATTTGGGAAGACCTAGAGGGAAAGTTGTGTAATCATGGTGGATCATGTGACTTGCACTACAGTGAGGTCCTCAAGGGCTCAGAGAAACACACAAGACTTTCTCAGGTGATGAGGACAGAATGGCTTGCAGAGGTGAGGTGGCTCAAGGCATGGGAGCCTGAGTCTCAGGTCTTGAGGAAGCACAGCAGGAAAGCTGGAGCTGGTCTTTCCACCATGCATCATCCTGTGACCTTGCTTCTGTTGTTTCTTGTTCCTCTCTTACTGGTGAGCTGATATTCAGGTTCAGGTTGTTCGTGGCTGCTCACAGTCCTAGAACCTTTACAGGTGGTTGTGATTACTGATCCCATTTTCTCTGTGTAAATGTCTTAGAATGGATGGGGCTGTATGGTAAGTTAAACACGTATTTATCTTTGTAGGAAACTGCCAGACTGTTTTCCAAAGTGGCTGTACATTTGGCTTTCTTACAGCAGTGTGAGAGTTCTAGCTGTTCTGTGTCCCTGCCACATTTTATATTGTGAGGTTTTGTATTTATTGACTTATCTGCTAATGCCTCATTTTAGTAGATGTGTAATAGTATCTCTTTGGGTGTTCATTTGCATTTCACTAGTGACTAATGATGTTGAGTATGTTTTCATGTGTATATTTAACATCCAGATACTGTCTTTTAAAAATTGGATCATTTGTTTTCTCACTGAGATTGAGTATGTCCACAGTACATGTTCCAGATACAAATCATTGTATCTTAGCTTATGACTTGTCTTTTCATTTCTTAAAGTGTCGTCTACTTTATCAACTTTTTCTTTTATAGATTGTGTTTATGGTGTCGTATTCAAGAAATGTTTGCCTCACCTAATGATTTACTCAACACTAATAGATACTAACACTTTTGTTAGTAAGTTCTATCAGTTCTTTCATGGAGTATAATTTTCTTTGTGTATACAGTTTCTCAGTATTGTATTTCATTGAGTATAAAACACTTTTTAATGAACCACAATAAAACTAAAGTGACACTTAAACTATATTGTGATATGAACCATCAGTTGTAATGACACATCCAGATTTCAGAGACGGTAAAATATGAAAAAGCATAGGTTTTTATTTTTGTCTTTTTCTGAAGTTGTGGCTGTTGCCCTAGGATTATTATATATCCTACCTAAAATACTAGAACCTGAGATTGTTTTAAATTGCCGAGAAGATGGTAACATGATGTTCAGTGTGTTTAGATAATTTTTCTAACCCATGACCCAGAAGAAAAACTGCATGATTAGGAGGGAGTGAGGATGACAGAATCTTAAGGAATGGAAATAAATGTGTGTATGTTTGTGAGAGTGACCATGAGAACACAGATTTAAAAGAGGGTGGGAATTAACTCTTGGTCCCTGTGATAATGCCACGGCCAGTTCTGGGGCCTGGGACAAAACATTCCATCTGTCCAGGTCTCTGCTTCCTGGTTTGTGGGATGTGGATGGGCATCCAATGCTTCATCAGCTCTGGGATCTCAGGACCCTAGAAGACTACAGCAGTGGTGCAAGTTTTATTTTTTTATTTTTTTTATTTTTTTTGAGACAGAGCCTCAAGCTGTCCCCCTGGGTAGAGTGCCGTGGCATTACAGCTCACAGCAACCTCCAACTCCTGGGCTCAA